TATTCAGCGGCCTATTCTCAGTCCGTAAGGTCTTGGGTTCTGTTCCCATTGGCCTCATGTACCTACCTGGGCATACTTGGTGCGGACCATCTAGAAATAGACCATCCCCTCCTAAGATCACTGCTAATGGTCATAGGCAAAGGGACTGGGGAGGAGGCAGAGTGACTGGCCACTCGGATGAAGCTCTGTCCTGTGACGCTCAACCTCACGCCCTACATTGACTTACCTTGAGGGCACGGGCCCGCAGCCCGTAGTTCGTTTGTTTATGTGTGTTCGGGAAGGGTGAGGTAGTGATTATGCTGTATGTATGTTTTGTCATGTTCGCTATACACAACTCGAAGAGAGTGTGTGGGGGGGGTCCCAGTTGGTGCTTTATTCACGAAGTTCATGGGACGCTGGACCACATAAACAAACGAACTACGGGTGGCGCGCCCCATCAATAGACAGGAGAATGTATGTGCGTGTGTATGTGAGTGAGTGAGTGTGTGTGTGTGCGTGTGTGTGTGTGTGTGTGTGTGTGTGTGTGTGTGTGTGTGAGAGAGAGAGAGAGAGAGAGCTGCAGCATGCAGCATGTCAGTGGCGGGGAGCAGAAGGGCAGGCGCTGACCTCCAACAAAAAGAAGAAGTAATTTTATCGGAATACAAGAGTTTTTTCTTTTCGAAATCCGAATAGAAAGGGTACAGGTTGTATTCGAATACAACCTGTAGGACGCACACCGTTTCAATTTCGAAAAAGGACTACCCGCACCGTTTCAATTTCGAAAAAGGACTGCGGCCTCCTCGGCCTCCTACTCGCAGCTACCGGTCCTACGAGGTCCTGGACCAAAACCCGTGCGGTACTACCGGTCCTGCAGTTTCAAATAAGATGCCACCACCCCCTAAACTGCCATGCCTTGTTTTTTCAGCCTTCCAACAACTGTATAATGAACGATGACGAAAAATGTTCTCCGGGGGGGAAAACGCAACCCTGACGGGCTGCGAACAGCGAGGACGGCGGCATCTTCTACTCCTGGCTGGTCTCTCCCTCCACCTCCATCTCTCCTTCTTCCTCCTTCTTTCTCCTCCTTCTTCTTCTTCTTCTTCTTCTTCTTCTTCTTTCAGAGAGAGAGAGAGAGAGAGAGAGAGAGAGAGAGAGAGAGAGAGAGAGAGAGAGGCAGGCTACAGGCAGAGGTTACATCGGGCCATTAGGCCCAGGATCTGATTCGACATTCTGTGGCGGACATTGATTGGACATTCGGCAGGGAGACTAGTTTTGGACTTCGCTATCGCTATCTTGGTCTTCTCCCTCACCTCCATCTTCATCTCGCCTCCCCGCCATCTCCTCATCCGTTGTATCTCCCCATGTGTGTGCTCAAGGAGGGACCTTTCTTCCATGTATGTGGTCCCTTCCCGCTCTCTCACATGTGTGGTGTGTATGATGGGATGTCGCGTCAGTATCTGACAGGTCAGTTCATGTCTTTGAGTCTTCCGTTGTATCTGGATGTACATTGCTTGTTGATGCTTTGCTGATGCTGCATTGTCCATTCAAGTCCTTTTCACCACTTTGTGGATCCTTGGCTCCATATACATCGCTCGATTGAGCATGTATCAGTACCGGACCAAAATGTCTGGCAGTGCCAGCCAAAATGAGGCCCGTTCAGTTTTTCTTTGGCACACACGGCGTTTTCAGGCTTGGCTCTAGTAGCTGGTGGTTTAAAAGATCATCCATGCGACTTTTCACCTCTGGAATGGACGTATCTACCTTTGATCTTCCCCAAGTGTAGTCTGGTACCTAGATCCAGTACGCCTTTAAGCCAATAGGGCAATAGGACAAAAGCCTGCATTCGTCTTTCAGGACAATCCCTGTCATTGCCGGAAGTGTTTACGAACTTTACGTCTTTTTCTGCCTACATTCGTCTTGCTGTTAAATCCCTGTGGTTGCCCGAAGTTCTTACCTCTTGTAACTGCCTCCCCCAGATTTCAGGTCTGCCTGTTGAAGGCCCTGCATCTCTCGCTATCTAGTATCTATCTATCACTGACAAATCCCATCCTCGAAGTCTGCCTTTTTGCAACTAAGTCCCTTTCCAAGAGTCGTAGCAGCCCTGTTCCCGCAGCCCTGCGCATGCGGCATTTTTTTATTGTATTTTTTTGCGCCTGCAGCTTTCTTTTTTTTGTGCCTGCGGCATTTTTTTTTTTTTTGGCAACTGTTTTTTTTTTTTTTTGGGCGTGCCCGTGGCTAGGCCACACCTGTGGCTGCTGGGCCATGGCCGAGATGTCTTGGCCACGCCCATGGCTGGGCCACGGCCGAGATGTCTAGCCCACGCCCGTGGCTGTGCCACAGCCGAGATGCCTAGGCCACACCCCTGGGGAAACGACCGGTACCTCCCATTTTTGTCAATTGTCGAACTGGCAGGACCGGTACTGCTACTGGTACCTGTTTTTTTTTGCAGTTTCGAACTGCACTGCGTTCAGATTGCCATCAGCTGTTATTCCTTTTTTTTTTTTTTTTTTTTTTTTTTAAA